TGGTATGGAAATCAAGCAAAACCATATGTGAGTTCTAACGTAATAAGCAATGAACACTACACATTCAACGGTGTGCTAGACCTTGACCTCAAAACATTTAAAAGCATATCCTTGACGATACAGTGAGCAACAAATAAAACAAATGAAAAGGTTTTGTCGTTCAGAGTCTCCATAGATTTAAGTCATGTAGTGTTTATTCGACGATTACATATGCTATCATGTGCCAAAGCTATCATATATTTAATCGGTCGACAGCTGATCATGCATTTCCCCATCACTTGTACTTGTTTGATCCATCCTCTCTATGAATGAGTTTTAACTTTGCCATTGTCATAATCTCGTACTGTAAGCGTAAGCCTAAGCCGTATAAACAGCTTTGCTATAGTATACGCTTGGCCCTAGAAGTATAGGGTGTCATTGATCTATTCTAATCCTCCATGATATTTTACGGCCACTGTGTGTCCATGTATTTCGTTCGTTTCTTTTTTATTGCTTAATGCAATGCCATGCTCATTACAAATGATATATGAGGATCTGACAATCCGTATGTATTTTATCTGCAATACAGTGTATAATATGCATAATCATAGCATCACCAAACTTTCTGATTCAGTGCTTAGCAAGACAAGAAACTTTTCATATCGGAAAGAATGGTGATTTTCAGTTGTCCACGACATGGCAATGAGGCAAAAAGAAGGGTTTTATAGTTTTACAGGAATTTCTATGGCATCTCATGCGGTCTGCGATCATTGCAGCCTAGAGTCTCAGATTTTTTGAAAGACGCTAGCGAATAAATGTAGCTTTCATTGAACCTAGTATGTTTAGAAGCAATCTTCGCATCATATACATCGCATTTGACTAACGGCTATCTGTTTCTAATGGTGAGTTCGTTTAATGCAGTAGTATATTAATTTTCGGAGCATTCTTCAATACAAGATTTTGCGGAAAGTTCGAAATTTTGATAATGAGGCATTGCGCAATAACAACAGATACTCATACTAATCCTTTTTCGGGGACTGCAGAATCGGTAGTGAATGGCTTAAAACTGTAAATTGCGCGAAGACGTTAATTCCGGTAACGTCGATTATGCGTTTTCTGGAGCAAGTGCATAATTCCTCGAAACTCAGATTTTGCGAGCTAGGGGCCATTTAATAGGCCATGGTTCTGTCGTAATTTAGCAACTGGTGATGCGAGATACGTAATGCTCCACTTATGGACTGAAACTGCCTTGCTAGTCACCGACAACGTTTCAGAAACCACTGAAATAGTGCGCGATGTACTGGCACTGCAAATTCTTAAATATGGAGGCTTGGAATTTAGTAAATAATCCCTAGACATTTAAGAGCAAGCATGGATGCGAGGCAATATGCTGTGAGATCTGATTTTGGAGGAGCTAAGTGTATATTATTAATTTCTGGCATGCGAATTCAGTATTTTTGTTCGCGTTTATATTTTATGACTTTCGATGCCTCCTGTTCATGTAAGCGCTTTTAGTTGGCTTCTGATCAGGCGTGTTGCGATTTTGGTCTGTACGCTGGCGCTACAGATTCGAACTATGATCGGGTCTCTGATCTAGTGCCTATTTCGGTCGGCCTGAAGATGTTCCTGAACGATACGTTTTCCGCCCTTCGACTGTCTGATTGCACAGTATGGATGAAAGTATGCGACGTTCGTCCTA